GTCACCGCGGGGGAAAGCTACTCCGTGCACAGCAGAGCCAGCGCTGCTTGCTCCTCAGAGAGTTCACCCAGAATGAACCACTCAATGCCACCCATTAAATGACCACTGGAAATCGCTCAGTCCCCCTATCACAGCCATTGGGAGCAACATCCACTCTGAAACATGTAAATGAAAACATACAGAGGGCATTTAGTGAGATGTGGTAAAGGAATTCCTATTGCATCCACAAACGAGGAACAATTTCAGATAAGCTGGACCCTGTTGGGGGTGTTACCAAAGTTAACTGAGCTCAAATGTGTCCAAATTTTGCCCAGCTGAAGGCTGCATCAGAAGTTTGGCTGGAGCTAAGACACACCGTAGAGGAAGCTGCGGCTGATCTCAGCAGCCATGAGGTGCTGGCTGCGTATCACCCCGCTCCAGACCACACCGCTGATGAAAACAAGCCTTGTGCTGTGGCAGACCCTAACTCCATACTCGGCCTGTGACCCAGACTCCAGCTGACTCCTGGGGGGGGACAATCTGATAGAAAATGGTGCAAGAGGGGAGGGTTTGGGGCGGGTTTTCATCCTCACAAAAAACCCCCAGCACCTCCAAAGCCACACTTAATGAACCACCATTATTATCCCACTCAAGAAACACAGTCACGTGCCTATTTAAATGAGCTGCAGCTCACCTTTTCTACAGCAGATTGCTGGAATGTCTTTTCTTCGAGATCACAGATCGCATCTCTCCTATAGATACTATTGACACCTCGTCAATGACTGTTAATATGTGAAATGCTATGACAGGAAATAGAACTTAAATAATTTTGTAGGGCAGTGGTTCCCACAGAGTGGTCTACAAGACCGTTAATCATCTGAACGGTGTTTTCAGCTCCAGCTCAGCACGGAGTGGTCAGAGAATTCATCTGACTGCCTTCAGTGCTGGTGGCTAAAAGCTAAAATGCTTTCAAGTAGTTGTTAAAACTACAGCGTTCATTACTGGGATTCACCAAAGAAAAGCCTGGGGCAGGACCACAGCCTCGGCAGGAGCCAGACTGACAACATCTGACCCAAGAACAAACAGAAATGAAGGCATTTGATTCCTCTCATACAGGCTCCTGATTTGCAAACAAAGGGCTGAGCAATTGATGCCAGAGTGTGGGACCTTTTGCTTCTTGGATATTTTCAAGCCAGCAGGGGTATTACAATGAGTTGTTGGGTCTCAGTCCAGGCTTTAGTGAGCAGATGAAAATACTTGGTGCTGTCCTATAGCCCGGCGAGCAGCCTCAGCAGGGGAGCAGGAGCCTATCTAGAGAAAAAGCTGCAGCAAAACTGATGGGCTGCACCAGTCCTACCAGGGCCCTGTCTCCAGTCTCTCCTCTGGCTCCACCAGCACTGAAGGCAGTCAGATGAATTCTCTGACCACTCCGTGCTGAGCTGGAGCTGAAAACACTGTTCAGATGATTAACGGTCTTGTAGACCACTCTTTGGGAACCACTGCCCTACAAAATTATTTAAGTTCTATTTCCCATCATAGCAAGGTGTCAATAGTATCTATAGGAGAGATGTAACTCTATTTCCTGTCATAGCATTTCACATATTAACAATCATTGACAAGGTGTCAATAGTATCTATAGGAGAGATGCAATCTGTGATCTCGAAGAAAAGACATTCAAGGCAGGTAGTGATTAATGAATTACCAGTGGCTTTAACAGACCCTTTGGCACTAACGAGCCTATGCTCTGGTCCGTGCTCCCAATCCACTGGGGTTTTGAAGGAGATCCATCAAGAGGGAGTTTCCATGTACGAGGCAGTTCCCAGGGAGGGGAGGGCAACAGGGGGAAAACAACAGGTGATCTCACTTCAGGATGTCAGTGCCTTGAGAAACAGGACAATGGTGGGCACCGAGACTCTGTTGGGAAGCAGCCCACTGCGCCAACGTGGACGGGGCACTCTGGATAGGGGGACAAAGCATCTCGGGAGAGGAAGGAACGCTGAGAATCAGAGAGGAAAGGCAGGAATGAAAATATGCATGTACAAGACCATAAAAAGTAAAAATCCATCTCAATCTCCTGTTTCTGCTATTGACTCCCATTCTGCTGCACATGCAGCCGGCGTCAACATAAAATCCAGCACAAACTGTGACAGCAGAATGGGATCGGATGCTTTCAAGCAAAGCTGTTTGATTGCTTGTCCCTCCCCCAGAAGGCAGGAGGGGAAATGAGAGGTGGGTCTTGATCCTCTCCTCTGAGGCCATCTCCCTGCAGAGCAGTCTGATAGCTCCGAAAGCACAAAACCTGCAGACCTTGACTCTGCAGCACAGCCAACAGCCCCCCTCTCCCTGTAACTGCAGGGAGAGAGTAAGGCTGGTCTGGCTGCAGTTCTATCTGGTGGGGGCTTAGCCAACAAGCAGTTTCTATTCTAGCAGGTACAGGTACTAGGTACTCTTTTCCTCTTCGACCCTATGTCTAAATGCCAAGTAACACTGGCCTGCTGGGTTCTGGAAAGCTGCTAACGCAGCCCCTTGAGGTCCCAAAGCCCGAGATCCCTGCTCTAGCGTAAGAGCTTCCTGCTATTCGCACAGAACTCTATCTTATATCAACATAGCGAACAAGACCGCCCACCCACAATTTCCCCATGTAACAGGCTCACCTGTCACCATTGGCAGATATGGCATCAAACTTGGCTTTCTTCTTTGGGATTTCGTTCTGAATAGAAGAGGTGGATAAGGTTTTCTGGCTAGAAAAACGAGGAAATTGTATGTCAGAACCTGAATGACTTGCAGTCTAAGACAGAGAAGCAGATAAATATTCCCACCCACTTTGAATCTATTAAAACAATATTTCCTAGCACAAGAAAGAATGATAAAAAATTCATTCCTTGAAGAGTAGCTGGAGACTAAAAATAAACAGAAAACAATACATCAGTCAGATCAGGATGTAGGAGAAGAACTCGTGCTTAAAATCTACATTTCAATCATTAAATTTTACAAATGCAATTTAGCTTTAATTGTGTACAAGTTCAGTAAGTGGAATCACTAAGAAGCACTGTTGGACTCAGAGTCTACTTCAGCACAGTGGGGTTTGCAAACTAGCAAAGCCTGACTTAGCCAGATTCTCCTGAACAACAGACAACTGCCAAAACCCGTCACCAAGGTACCGAGCCCCCAGGCACTGCTCCCAGGTCCTTTAGGAAGCGCAGTTAAGGAGCGTGGAGCAGCCAGGCACCCTGTTTGCTCACCCCAGGGGAGAGCTCACCTCGCACAACACAGAAGCTTGCGCAGGTTACCTGTTATAGTGGCTGCCACTGCTGAGCCTACTGTACTGTTCCTTCTCTTGCAGGCTTGCCCGGGAAGAGCTGCTCAGGTGTTTGCACTGCTCTTTGGTCTTCTGCAGGACCCGTTTATAGGATAGCGTGCATAACCAGCATAGCAGCTTTCCATCCACCTGCAAGGCGAGAGAGAAAGAGAGGGAGAGAAGTTTTGGTCTTGCTTCCTGCCCACAAACCAAACACAGAGAAGACAAGAAGCACCTTCAGGCTTAAGATCACATATGAACAAGCAACAACTCAAAACGGATCCCTCGAGTGCCCGAAAAGAAGTGCATCTGGCACGGCTGGCACAATGCAGACAGTACTCCTTAATAACAGCTAATCTATCGTAACTACAGACTCTGCCAAGCTTTGCTTATGGAGCGTCTTAAAGCACCCACTCGCCAGGACAGGCTAACTCTAGCGGGATTTCTGTCAAAGCAACACCAAGGAATGATAGGTGACAGGGTAGTCACTGGAGACCAAAACAGCAAGGGTCTCTGCCCAAGGAGGATCAGCAGGAGGACAGGGATTATCAGTGCAGCATCCAAATGGAACAATGGATGTTTATAGCCTGCAGGAAAAGGCCTTAGAAGTACACGCCTTCTAAGGAGCGCTTACAGCAAAAAAAAAAAAGAAAAAGCGTTTAAGGAAAGGGTGTGCAGAAGCCGTGGAATGGGTTTCCTGGTGGAGGTAATGACACTTCCAGCTCCTTAGACTACGGCACAAATATCGTTCCCCACCCCTCTCCCCAAGCAGGCACCTCAATATTTCACTCAAAGACCCTTTCTCCTTTGCCAGCCCACCTACCCTTAGGACAAATTCAAGAGATCTTTCTCAGTAGGTCTGGCAAAGGAGCAGAGGGGCTCAAAGATTAAACAGCTTCAAAACACAGCTCCCACAGCAAAGCTCAACTCCCCAAAATACTTTATAACCAAGAGACACCCCCTATTTGAAATGCTAGAGAATATGTGAAGGAGATGGACAGACGATCACCATGATCAGCCCTTTTACCTTTCTGGCCTCCTTTTTCAGAGATACTGACCTTCTTCCTATCATCCTTCCGGTCAAATGCGCACTG